CTTATTTTTGCCAGCCGGAAATAGTACTAAATGCTATTTATTATTAGAGATGAATTTTTTCGTTGAAATTTTTACTGTTTCTTTGTTGTAATTCAGATGCTTATGTTTCTTACAAATTTTATTATCATTCAAATTTGTTTTTAATATGCTGAAAATTTTGTATTAATTACTTAATTATATCATTGCAGTTTATCTGAATAATATTAATGTCAATTTCTAGCAAAAATAAAATTTCCTTTTTTCAAATAAGTTTATATTTTATTTTCAGTAATTATCTTACTGTATTCATCAATTTCAATTATGCATAAATCCAATATCGTTGTAATTATTTTTCATTTACTATCACATTACTGATTATTGATCATTATTCTACTATTACTATATCACAGTATCGACTATTCGTCATTATCACTATATCATTATCATGCTATAAGAAGTATGTATTTCTTTTGCTTCTATAAAATAATGAATTCGAATATGTTCCGAATCGCTGTAGCAAATGAAAGACAATTCTTTTAATAATAAAATTTCGATCCCTGTTTATAATTTGTTAAAAGAAAAATGATGAATTATGATGATACTAGCAATATTTGCATTCAATATTGCAACAGTAATTTACAGATCGATTATTTTAAATAACGATTAATTCTATTACTCAAAATTTTGTATAATTTTAAATCAGAATTCATTTTCACACATTTGAAATATTAATATAATATGCTATGAGAAAAGTTTAGCTATTTTTATTATTAATTTCAAGACATCAATGATACCAAATCATTGGTAATATATTTTGATATATCAGTAACGTAATTTATTCATCTTATTCACATGTACACAATCTAATCATTTTGTACTAAATTCTATTCAAGTAAATTAGTACGACATTAAGACTAAAATACTTTTGCAGTTCCATCGATTAATATTGGCCTCACAAATCGTCCAGATTTATTTGCTTCGCGATAAGCACGATAAGTGTTACCATCACGGAGTGATTTGTTGTAAAATCGATGAGCTTTTGAAAGCTTAAATTGAATTAATTCAAAATGCAAAAATGTTTTTAATTTTGCAATTTTAAAAAATGTTTGGAAGTTTGAAATATTTAATTGTAAACAAAGCAATAGGAAATTTGTAGCTTTTCTGCATGAGAATGAAAGCATACCGCATTTGTTCCAATTACTACATGATCAAAATTAACTTGGCGTACTGATTTCTCTAAAATTATCAATTTTTTTTTCCAAAATTCATTTACAGTCATATTTTAAAAGATATTTATATACCATTGAATATGGCTTAGAATACTTTTAAAACTTTTTTGCACATTTTGCAATATCTAAAATCAACAGAATTTAGCATATTTCAAATCTATTATTTAAAATCATACTTGAAACACAATAGTTGCCATAATTTCTGAAATATCCGGTAACATTTTTCAAGAATGTGATTTCTAGGATATGATCTTCTGAAAGCCTAACATTCGTAGCATCACATTCTAGTTCTTCACATTTTTGCGCTACTGATGCGATCGTTCCATTTCGTAAATAGCCCAATATTCGACCGGTACATGTCTGGAAAACAATTTTACTAAATTGGAAAAGGAATTGAAATATAGGAAATTGTTATAGGAATTGAAATAAACTTTCGGTTGTAGGTTTTAGTTACTGCTACTTGTCTCATCGATAAAATTTCTTCTTCTTATAGATGAATGGATAAATAATCAATGTATCTGATTATAATAAATTATAAAAAATCATAATACATGATGATGATAAAGATAAAAAATCAATGTATCTGATTATAATAAATTATAAAAAATCATAATACATGATGATGATAAGTTGTATAAAATCTATTTTCATAATCAATCCATTTCGTTGCATTATTCAATTCTTCCATTTTTTCAAATCTACGACGAAGTAATCTATCATTTTTTCTTGTCCAACCACTCGATGAAGCTTCTTTAAATGTCTGAAAAATTATTATCCACTTAATTATATATATAACAAATTATTACAATAGAAAATTTTATTATGCCCTTTAATATAGTAATACATATAGTAATATATACAGTAATACATATATTATAAGATGAAATGAAATAAAATAATTTATTAGTATAATTTTGATTTTCAAAAATTTCTTCAATGTATTAAAATTAAATTTTGAATCATTTCTTTTTTCACGCAGCTGTCAATATCCTTTTCTTTTTTAGCATATCAATATTTTAAAGGATATTATTTAACATACCGGTTTTGCATATGCTACTTTCCTATTTTGACCAATATATTTTTCTGTTCCAATTGAATTAATATTCATTCCTTTTTGCGACATATTTTCGACATTTTTTGAACTAAAAAATTTAAATGAAAAAAAAAATCAAATGAATAAATAGCTAATTTGTTTTGTTAGAATTAAAAACCATTTTGCAAATTTTAATTTAATTACTATCTAATTTAAAAATACTTTAATTAATTTTAAGATATAAGCAAACATTTTTAGGAATTAGCGGAAGTTTAAATTTCCAACTAATCAATATCATATACTTTCAATTAAATTCTCTTTTTTCCAATTTAATTACAGTAATAATTTCAAAAAGAAAATTAGCTTAGGATTTCAACAATGGATATAATTTAGGATATGAAAAATATGCCATTACGGCAAATGGGTACTGTGAAAATTGGAATTTTCAAATGATAATAGCAATCAATAGATCTTAAAAAGGTTAGAATTTACCAACGGATATAATTTAGAATATGAAAAATGTGCCATTTACGGGAAATGAATATTGTGAAAATTGGAATTTTCAAATGATAATAGCAATCAATTATCAAATGATAACAGCAATCAATAAATGCTGCATAGTTAAGCAACATTATGAAAATTCTGAACTGTTAATTTCAAATTATATTCAAAAAGAAAAAGAATGATCAATTTCAAAAAAATTTGAAAGAAAAGGTAAAAAGCAATGAAAAACAAACTTTCGATATTTTTGGAAAAATTTATTGCTGTCCTGATGATTTTGTTGTAGCACAATTGGTACATGATGATTATCACGAAGCGATGCAGCATTAAAGAATTTCAAATGTTTAAATGATTCTGTTCGAGGAATTATCCTAATATTACTTCTCACATTTGGTATATTTACTCGTCTGATATTTAGTTTCGAATTAGCTTCATCAAATTGTTTATCATTTAAGGTATATGCTTCCATGCTATTTTTTAATCCATCATTAATTTTCGATGAAATTGAACTTGCTGATAATGTGATACATTCGATATTATGATTTCCAGATTCACTGATTTTTCTAGAACATAACGGTAGCTTTCCTTCATGACGATTTTTAGTATCATCCAATGGACGACGTTTTAAGCTTACATTTTGATTGACGTAAATACGACGTTGCATTACAATTGGATTTTGATAATTCATTTTCTCATTCATTTCAACATCTGCATTTGTATCATTTGTAGCAGTCATTTGCTTTATATTAATAGCAGCTATCATTGAATGTTGTTGATTGGATACGTTTTGTACGGGTAATGTTACAACAGCATGAATATTATTGATACGTTGCAAACGTTGAGTTGTCATTTGATTATTATCATTGATATTCTCGCTAAAATACAAGAAAAAAACATTAATTAATTTTAATTGCTGTAAGAATTTAATTTTAAAAAATTTCAAATTTTTCCTAATAAATTAATATTTCTTAAATTCACTTTTTATTTTCCTCTATTTCTAATCATTTTGAAAACTATCATCAATTATCTCTTAAATTATATCAATTTATTTAATTAAATTATCAGTAATTTAATCAGTGGAATGATTAAATGCAACAATCAAACAGTTAGCAAATGTTAACTCTTTTTTGAATGTCCAATGCCACTGATAAAATTCAAATTATTCCTGAGATATGATATCAAATTCAATTTCATTAATTGATGAATAAAATCATCAATTGTAATGTTGTCGAAATCTTTGAGATAATTTTAGTTTAAAGATATATTATTATCACATCCCTATAATTTTATAATAAAATTAATTTCTAAATTATTTAAAATTTTAGAACGAGAAATAGATGAATGAAATAATAAACCTGCTGATAATAGACGGTGCCACTTCTATTTGCTCCATATTTTCGTTATATTCATTTGAGTGCTTTTGAGATTCATAAATTAGTGGTACCTCTGTTATCGTATTTGGTGGCAATTTTTTTGAATGAATTCCATAAGCATGATGGAATTGATTATAATTTTTAGATATGCCCATGATATTACCGGTTGACCGTTGGCTATTATGTGATGATAATGATGGTACCATAGATTGCTGAGATAATGATTGTGGTGCATTATAGGTATAGGGAAAATTATACCTCTGTGGGTATGAAATTCTTGCAAGTGGTACAGATTGATACGACATATATGAAGGATATGATGCAGAATAAGATGAAGGAGAAATAACCAAACCTGAAATTATTTAGTTATTTTGAAAATCAAAAGTATACAGCGTTCATTTAATTTCATTCATCTGTTTAATCAATTTCTATTCAAAATTATTTCACAACTAATTACTTTTTATCTATCATACATTTAATCATTTAAAGCTAACATCTGCTAATAATGAACAATATTAATCTGGCAATAATGAACATTAAGTAAATACATTCTAAATCTTTTGTTTTAACTTTAATTAATAAATCATCTTGTTAAAATTAATTAGTATATAATTTACTTCATAATTTATGTAAAAATCAATTTTGCTGAAATTAATTAGCGTGTAATTTACTTGGTAACTGATGTGATGATACATGTGATATAGATGGTGCAATATAACTTTTTGTTTGTACAAATGCATGTTTTGCGCATGGACAACCAGAAATTGCTGTTGGACATGAACAGAAACCGCCTAAATTAATCATTAAATTAATTAAATTCATTAATAATATTAATACTTAATTTATTTGTCTTTTTTTAAAGGAATTTACTTTCATTACTTTGAATTGTCATTTCTTATTTAACTGAAATAATTATGATTTATATCACATATAGCATATTTATATATTATGTATGTACTATAATGAATTCCATTTCTTGTTAATTTTTTAATTAGTTTATATTAATTATGATTAATTTGAATTAAAATTCATTTTCATTTTATAAAATAAAAAAAAATTCTTACTGCTAAAACAAGCAAACGTATTCGTATTTGTAATAAAGCTTATCACAACAGTAATTGTTGTTAATTGTCGTGCTGTCACCACTGACCAATAATACATTTCTGATTCTTAAAGAAAAAATCGTTGCAGAACAGTAATGATAATAACAATGATAATAATAATAATAATAATAATAATGATGATAATAATAATAATAATAGAAATTAATAAAATTGAATCAATCAGTCAACAAATTGAAACGATCATATTCAATTGTAGATTTTATTTCATTTTAAACAATTTCAAAAATAAATTTCCATCAAATAGACAATAATAATATAATTTATAATTTTCTAATTTATAAATTTCTAAACTATAATTTATAATCAAATTTATAATTTTCAATCTAATCGAATATTTTAGGAAAAAGTTAGGAAAAATATCAATTTTTATACATATGCGATATTTGTTATCAAAAAAAAATACATGTATCCGATCGCTTGATATAACATAATTATATAAATATGAAAAGAAATTTGTGATACATTTGCGCTTAATATACAATTGACCTCATACTGTAATATTATATATGTGAACCAATTTAAATTATTACGATGATCAATTGTAATATATTTTCATACCAAACATTTTTATATGTCATTTGAGAAAAATCAATTTATATTCTTTCAGTTAATATATCCAATTACTTAATATAATAAATTATACAATGATGAAAATGATTTTGATGATACATTTGCGCTTAATACATAATTAACATCATACAATAACAATTTAACTTCATAAATCATTTCGCAAGAAAAAAATTTATACCAAAGCTGTCAACTATTGAACGAACGAAGAGGATGTGAAAGAAGGAAGATTAAAATGGGCTAATTAAAAACTTAGTGATATTAGGAAATTTCAAATTTTAAACTTGTCTAAGTTAAATTTTTCTTGGAAGTAGACTACAAAACCACTCTGATTGATTCTTTGTTTTTTTTTTAAATTTATTTCAATCAGTGATTTTAGCTTAATTAAATTTTTGTTGGATGAAGAATACAAAATCATTTTAATTGATCCTTTGTTTATTTAAATTAATGATTTTAAATTTCGTAATTTTAAAATGAATAAGATTAATAATGATATTTTTGAATGATATTAGAAAATTTCAAATTTTATATTTACTTAAATTAAATTTTTCATTGGAAATAGAATACAGAATCATTTCTAATTAATTCTTTGTTTTAAAAATTTATTTAAATTATTGTCACAAATTTACATTAATATTTAAATGGTTGTAAAATTAATAATGAAAGAAACGAAAAATAAACTTTAGAAAAATTTTAGAAATGAAAATGAACATTTTTAGGATACATTAAGAATTAACAATTATACATGGAATGAATAGAAAGATATATATATATGAATTATATATATATATAGAAATGCTCCTTCTACCGAAAAATCTTTTTTTTTATAATTAATTTGATTTTTTAAAAGAATTTAAATAATTATTGAAATTATCGGCATTGCTAATTAAACCAAAATTATGCATGCATATTAATTTGATTGTCTTTTTTTTTTTTTTTTTGTAATTTGTTTGCTATTCTTTCTTTACTTTCGTTTTTCTATTTCACAAAAATTTTTCTCTCTTTTCTCTCTTTCTCTCTATTTCATAAAATTTTTCTCGCTTCTCTCTTTGATTGAAATTTAAAATTTCTCATCTTGATCGAAATTTGAATATTATTTTATAAATAAATTAATTTACGAAAAGATCAATATTTTATCAATAAATCGAAATGATGAAAATCCTACAAATTCATTATTGACAGAAATATTTTCTCTCTTTAATTGAAATTTTAAAATTCAGTGATTAAAATTTAGCGATTGAAATTTAAAAATTATTTTATAAATAAAAAGAGATATATTGAATGATACTATTTTATAAGAAAAATTATTTTATTAATATTCGCTTTTACAGATCGTCCAGCTATTTTGCTTCGCGATAAGTACGACGATAAGTGATACTATCACGAAGTGATTTGTTGTAAATTTCACTCTTTGGATTAAAATTCAGTAATTGAAATTTAAAAATTATTTTATAAGTAAAAAGAGATATATTGAATGATACTATTTTATAAGAAAAATTATTTTATTAATAATGGCTTACACAGATCGTTCAGCTATTTTGCTTCGCGATAAGCACGACGATAAGTGATACTATCACGAAGTGATTTGTTGCAAATTTCACTCTTTGGATTCAAATTCAGTAATTGAAATTAAAAAAAAATTATTTTGCAAATAAATTCATTTACTAAATGATGAAAATGCAACAATTTATTATTGACGGAAAAATTTCCCTCTCTTTAATTGAAATTTGAAATTTCACTCTTTGATTAAATTTCAATGATTGAAATTTGAAAATTATTTTATAAATAATTAAATTACTAAAAGATGAAAATACAACAATTCATTGTTGACAGAAAAGAATTTATTATTACATAGGAAAATTTCAATAGTAAATTTTTTAAATAAATAAATTAGTTTATTAAATAAAAGTGAAAGAAGAATTAAATGATAATTGTTGCAACATTTGATTACAATTTATTTTCATCGTTGAAAATTTGCAATTTAAACTTTACCTTAACCATTCCTAAATATTTTTCCCTCACTTTTATTTTTGAAATGATAAATTGAAATTTTGATGGAAGAAAAATAATACTGAAAAATTGTTTGGAAAAGATTTGATTCAATTTTGTTAAATTGACAAATAATAATTGCTTACTGAATAAGGAAATAATTATCGGAAGAGGGTAAAAGAAATGAAACAGAGAGGAAGAGAGAGTGAGAGAGGAAGAGAGAGGGAAAGAGAAAAGAGGATGGAAAAAGGAAAATGAAAAAGACGGAAATTTAAGAGAGAAGTAGATGATGAAGTAAAAATGATGAAATATTCGTCAAAAATGACGATCATCATTCAATAATTATTATCTACATTACAGCTTAGGGATAATATTTTCATAATATTTTTATCATGCCTGTTAATCACAAATCTTGATCCTGCTGTTCAATGATACTGAATTGAGGAGAGAGAGAAAGGAAAAGAGATAATAGTACAAATAATGTTAACAATAATAATTATCATTATAATAATTGATAACAATAATAATAATAACAATAATAATAATAATAATAATAATTGGTAATAGTAATTGATAATTATAATTAATATAATAATTGGCAATAATATTATTTGATAATACTAATGATTGTTAATATAAGTGATAATAATAAATGACAATTTTAATAACAATAATTAGTAATACTAATTGATAATAATAATGGTTGTTAATAATAATTGATAATAATAGTGATTATCAATGACAATTAATAATAATAAATGATAATACTACTGCTACTAATAATAATATTCGATAATAGCAATAAATAATAACAATACATAATAAGAAATGATATTAATAAATAATATTAATAGTGGTGATAGTAATAAATAATAATAGTAGTAATAGTAATTGGAATAAGCAATGAATGACGATCAATTATAATAATAATAATATTAATAAAGCAAGTATTTTATTAGAATCATAATTTAAAATATGATAATTTAAACGATTTTTAAAATGTGAAAAATTTTACCATTAAATTATTACAGATTATAATAGATTCATAACAATAAATAAAAAATAATGGAAAACTGTTTCAAAAAGATTCATTGAAATCGAAGATAATATTATTCAGCTGATTATAATAATGATATCCTTATTTTCTCATCATTTCAATTATCATTTCCTAATTGTAATAATGATGTTCTTATTGTCTTATCATTTCGTAATTATAATAATAACAACTTTATTGTCTTATCATTTCTAACTATCATTTCCTAATTCTAATAATGATGTCCTAATCGTCTTATCATACCAGCTATCATTTCTTAATTACAATAATAATATCCCTATTGTCTTACCATTCTAATATCATTTCCAATTATCGTTTTGTTTCATCCTCAAAAAATATTGACATTTTGCTATTATGTTACTAATTTTTTTATAACATTATCAATAGCAATGATAACAACGATATCACAAACATTTTACAACAAAATATATCAACTAATACGCTTAAAGTTTTATTAGTACTTTCTTTGTATACGATTATATTTAATATTAAGTAAATAATTTCTTTTCAAACTTTATCATTATTCAAAATTTTTGCCAAATTAATTAGACTAAGCAATACCTATCAGTAAAAATATATTACAATCAATAATAAGGTGAGAAAAAAAAAGAAATTGTTAATTTTTCTTGGAACAATTTAACAACTGGTTTGCCTTAAAGGCATATAAAAATCCGGTTTAAGCAAGTTAATGATTTAATTATCTAATTCATTGTCCTATTAAATTTTTTCATAATTTAATAATCTAATTATTATAATTTTTCATTTCATACTTTTTCTTTCATATCCATTTAATTTGTCATTTCATTTAAAATAAAAGAAAATGATAGTTTGTGAAAAACGTTTAATTTTATCCTTTTGATAGTAAGAAAGCAAATGTAATAAGAGTTATGATCAATATTAACACTATTAAAATAATGTTATTATTGACAGATGTTACCCTTTAAATAATAAAAAAAAAGCAAATCTAATAAGTGATATGATTATACTAACACAACAAAAATAATGCTGTTATTGACAGATGATTATTATTGCCAGATTATTTAATAGAAAATTTTTTTACAGCTACAAAAAGCAAATCAAAAAAGCAAAAAAAAGAGTTGAAGAATTTTTCAAAAAAAAATAAAAGTTTTAATTTTAAAAGTGTTGAAAGCATGTTAACAGTGCTAAAATAATGTTATTAATTGACAGATGATTGTTATTGACAGATTACTTGAGATAAATGATGATTATTTGATTTGAAATTTTTTTACAGCTACAAAAAGAAAGTTAGAAAAGCAAAAAAAGAGTTTATCTTATAAATAGTGATAAAAGATATGATTAATATTAACATTACTAAAATCATGCTATTATTGACAGCTATTATTATTGACAGATTATTTGATTCGTAACTTTTTACAGCTGCAAAAAAGTCAAAAAAAGAGTTGAAG